CAATTTTCGTTCAATTGGATCCTCCATTGGCGGTTAGCCGGTTGCCGGCATCACGTTTTTCGACCAGCTATAAAAACTTATCTGCCATCAGTAGGGCGTCGTGATAATCAGCGGGACGGAAGTTTCAGTAAAAGTGTGTCATCGTAATGTGTGAAAGGCGATAATAATGGTTGCGTCAATGAAAGCGATTACGTTTGTTGGGAACTTGATTGGTTGTATCAACGAACGTCATTATCATCTGCGCGTGCAGAATGTTACTGCAAGATAAATTACTCGCGATTCTCAATATGCGAAAAGAAATAAATAACCAGTCGGCAGAGTCGTTAAATTGAGATTTATTATAGTTCGGAGATAACGATTAAAAATAGGAGCAAACAACACCGTTGCAGCGTTTGTTTCTGAGAAGCGTATAAAAATATCATTGTATTAAGAAACGGAGTCTGATGCAAGCCTGCAACTTATCTTCTTCTTTTTAAACGACTCTTAATGTCGCGAAAGTGTCCACGACTGCTAACAAAAACTCTTTAAACGTTCTTGAGCAAAAGAGAAAAAGAAATAGAGGCTACGACATACCCTATTAAGTATATTTCATCACTACGCTTTTTTATTTTCCGGATTCTCTGTCCTAAAAAAATCTCCGAAACATGATGTTCTTTTAAATAATGTCCTATAAAATGCGCGTTTGTGGTGAGCAGAATATTATCTCAGTCGGACTCGACGGAAGAAACGTTTAATTTAAATTCAATATTTCCGACATTGAAGTATACATATTCGATGACTATTCACCGGATTTTGTCCTCTCATCTCTAGAATATTTATTAGGACTATATCTTAAAAGACAGGTTCCAGAAATTTCAGGAGATCAAGTGTACGGTCCTGTAGGCGGTATGTGTGCAGTTCGGAAGCGATGTTCCAACCGCGCATGTGAACGAGGAGCCGCGCGGGCGCCCGTGCTCCGTCTCGTCTCGATCCTCTCGGATCTTTTTTTCTTTCTCTCAGCCGTAATATCCCGTTCGTCGCGTCGTGCGTCGTCGTCGGCCTACCGCACGTTTCGCACGCGATATTTCAACGATTTCAACGCCGACACGCCGCGCCGGGACTTTACGCGCGAGCGAGGGGCGTGTGTTTACCGCGTGCGGACTGCGGGCTTTGACCGTCGCCGGGTTTTCGTCTCGCCTCGCATCGCATTGACCCGATCGGCGTGGCGGTGTCGTCCACCACCGACGCACGTTGCAGCGGACGGGGTCCGGCTTCCGTGGGCACGTAAGCCTCGACACGTGTGCCTAAGGTACGTTCGTGCGTATATGCGTGCGTACGTGCGTAGTACGACGGCGACGCACGCGCGACGGGAATCGTCGGCGAGGTGACGTTGCGGGGACGTCCGTCGTGTCGGTGGATTTTCGGACACCGCGAACGCGAATCGCGAGAGGATTGTGTGCGTCACGCCCGTCACGGTGCGTGTTGCGCGTAAGTAGTGGCGCCCTTCGCCGAGACCAGATTCGTCGTGGGCGAATCCCTTCGCACGACCGACCGAGGTTAAATATCCGCGGACCACCTTGCGTAACAATCGATACCGCGTCGCTCGATTTTCCCGTGACCCCGCTGGGGAAATTGAGGCGGTACGCCAAAAATATCGAGCCGCGTTCGTTTGGGGTACTTTCTTGAATTTATCACTCGCGGAGCTGCCGTCCACGCGGTATCTGTATCTCCCCGATTTCACGGAGATACGTGGATTCGATTTCGTGAATGCTTAGGCTGGGTCATTAATGTCATTATGCATTAATTGTTACAGAAGAAGATAAAATCTCGAGAAAGTGGCGTATCTTGCAATGCTTTTAACTGTTTTGCATTTAAAATATCCTATAGTGCTCTTTTTCACATCCCTCTGCAGTATAATGTGCAAAGACCGATGAACCTAAGATTAAAATAAACCACCCTACGAGCTTTAATAATCATATTCGAAAACCTGGGAGCATTAAGCAAAATAAGTCAAAACAAAGTTTCGAAATATGTTTTAAGGCTAGTAAAATGTGCGTCATCATTTAAATCCAGATTAGAATAAAAGTTTGCTTAATAATTTTGTATAATTAAAAAAAATTCAGATTTTTATCAAAATAAAAACTATTTAAATAAACACCAGAGGTCTATCTTATTTTACGCACAAAAAAATCTCAACCTTCCAAATTTATTTCTATATATCTATTTATTTCGAGAACAAATTTAGCTTTTGAAAAATCATACACGATCCTAGCATTTTTCTCTAGATAAAATTTTCGAATTAAAATGTGGCATTGTGACGCATAATGAGCTAAGAGACTAACTGCTACAAAGAAAAGAGAGGTATCTGGGCCCAATCAAGAATTGCTGTCGCAATTCATTGCAGGAAAACTGGAGCTTG